GAGAACCCATTGCTGGAAAGATGTGTTTTTCTCTCGGGGCCAAATAGCCCATGGAAGTGCTTGTTTCCCTTGAACAACTCGCAAGCCGCGCCTGCCACAAACGACACTGGACTGGATCGCTTCCGGGGTATCCCCGAGGCAAGCGCTTCCGTGGGACCATCATGTTGCAGGACTGGGCGGATTGGGCTCCCTGTGCTTTGTGAGCAGTAGATGAGGCGTGCTCTTCGCACCTAGGTGTGCGTTCGTTGGCTGGTAGAATAAAGCCTTTCTTGTCATGGTGTATGACCAAACTGACTCCCAGGGCCTGAATAGTTGCTATTAGTTGACTCCAATGAGTCCAATGACGGCAGTATTTTGCTTCATCGACCGAGTCGAGCTTCAGGACGGCACGGAGATGTCGCAAGCTCTGGGCGACGAGCCCGACGAGCTCTAAATTTAGGCGCGGGGCCGGGTGAGCGGCACCAACCAACCTCCGAATATCAGGGAGATTCGGGGTCCGAAGCTCATCCCTGTCCAAAAGCATCTGCCATCAAGGGTTCACGGGAAAAAACAGCCTGGTGGGTTGTTTGGTTAGGCTAGGTGTTTAAAAGAACACTTACCAAGGCCTTCGCAGAGAGGCTTTTGGGACCCCCTCGACTTGAACCCCACCTGGCCCCTTGGTGCTTGAAGATTCGCAGCGAAGTCCCCTAGGGTACGCAGCTACATCCGGTGTATGACTTGTGACTCCGACCCCACCTCCTTTCCTTGCCCACAGGGGGTGCTATCTACTTAGTGGGCTGGTCCATGGCCTGAGAAAGGGAAGCTGGAATGGGCGAGGCGCCGTGCGCGAAAGTCGCCTTCCACGTCGCGGCTGCGGCAAGTGGCCGGGGGTGTACAGCAGGCTTTTGGGGTTTGTCCAGTTCCGCCGACGCATTTTGATACTTAGTTGCCCAGTTATGCAGTCCTATTTGACTGCGAGCTCACCTGGGGTATAGCGAGCTCACCTTGACAAAGGTCCTTTACTTTACGTATGTTAAGACAACTTGGCTTGGCTGTTATTCGGCTGGATTGTCTAGCTTGAATCTTTGCGCAAAGCGTAATGGCCACCAAGCAAAGATGCACGCTGCCTTCCACTAAAATGCAATCTGCCAGGGGGTAGCTTGAGAGGAACAGCAATCTTTGAGCTACCTTTTTACAGGTGTGCCAACTGTTAGGAAGGGTTGATCGGTAGAGATTGTGCTCATTTGTGTCGGGATCCTGGACTTTTGTGCACCAGGTTGATATCTTAGGATTTTGGGCGTGCCTGGACCAAACTCCCCGCTGGGGATGAAAATGTGTCCCTCACACAGCGGGTGAATTCGATTCAGCCGGCAGGCTGGCTAAGCTCCGGAAAATCGAAGTTTTTCCCCCGGAAATGAATGGATGTCACCCTCTAAATCCCCTTATGCTTGTAAATGCTTCCATTTTGTTAATAATATGTTATTTTCCCCCGTTGTTCCCGTAAATTAAAGAAGGGAAGTTTTCACTACTGGATATATGCTTCTTTGTTCCTGGGGACTTAGGCAAGTGGAGGTACATGGCTTGGAAGTTGGAAGCCCCTTCCTTGGAAGATTCCGGCAATGACCTTTTCAAGTTTTCAAGCGGCAAGGTACAGCAGGCAAGTCGATAGTAACCACGGTTGTCGGTCTGTCATAGCACGCCAAAGCCATTGTTGTAAGTCCCCAGGCTGCGAATCACACACCTTACACACCAACAGGCCCCTTCAAGTGGCTGCGGGTCAAAACCAATGGTACCATTTTGGGGTAGGTGCACCACCCATTTTAGAACCTATTTTAGTGGTTGGATTGGGAGGTTCACTGGGAAGTAGGCCCCTTTAAGTAGTCAGATCCCTCGCAAGCAGTGATTGGCCGGCGGCCGGCCTGCTGGCGGAAATCCGCATGCACCACATAGTTTCGAAGCCGCGCGCTCTGCACGTACGACTCCCGTGGGGCTGCCATCAAGTCGTTGACCCCACGGTGAGGTGCTGCGCGAAATTTTCACTACTCAGGCGCTTCATGGCGGTGACATTTGGCTTGCACAAGCTGGGCGCCTGCCAATGTGTTGAAAGACTGGTTGCTACATAGCCCACGTAGCTTGAATTCTCCAAAAGGAAGCGAGCAAAGGGGTAAGATTTGTAGTCATCAGGTAGAAGAACCGCCCAAGATGAAAGGTTAATACGACTGAAGGAGTTGATTTGCGGGGCAATCTGCAGGACATGCAAAAATCCTGCGTGGAGCCGGTTTGAAGCGTTTGAAGCGGCTATGGGAAGCACATGTTCAACAGGGGAAAACGCCCAGAGCCTCCCTCTCTAAACTCCCTTCGTAAGAAGGGCTCCTAGACTCGCAGGGGTTGCTGGAAGGTTTCCTGGGGCCCTATTCGCCCTTTCATTCAAGGGGATAAAGGTAGTCTTTCCAAGGGACCTGTGACCTTGTGCACTTTCCATGCTTCAGGGCACTTGAAGACTCAGGAAGTGCAGACAACACCCACCAGACTTTAGTTGGAGGCGACAGCCGCTGCCCACACCTGCCAGATGTCCCACGAAGCGATTGAATGATGGCTGCGTGAGCCAAACAGGTCCGAGGTGCTGACAGGTGGCACTTGTTTAGATTGTCTTTATTCCATTTACCAGGGCCTGCTAGCTTCCACAAAGTCACCAATGCGCGAGAATCTATGATGGTTCTTTCAGTACCCCCAAGCCAAAGCTCCAAAACACGATCCACTACATGATATAGGATGCATACGCCGTTTTCGCCTGGGTAGAGGTTTGGGCTGAGTGGAAACCAGTGTAGGAAGAAACAAAGACAAGAAAGGCGTCCAAAGAAAAGCCACGTTCCCCCGTTGATCCGGACCTCGGAAGGCCCTTTCTCTCGCGGACACTGAGGAGTTTGCGAGGAGGAAAATGGTTGCAGCCGTTTCTGTGAACGATTTGCATAGAGGAAAAGCGCCCAGTCGTTCTGTATCACTTGTTTGGCTTTTTTGCTTGGTGGGTTCCTGGTGAAGGACTTCAAAAGGGTTCCAGGGGCACTGGGCAATTGATACGGATGTCCTTTCGGTCAATACTCTTAGTCCTGCGGGGGCCTCCTCCCCTGTTTTTGTTTTCATACCTCGCCCTACGGGAATTTCCTGGGCAAAAAATAAATAAATTCGGTAGCAGGCATCCGCCACGGTCGTCCAAATGGCCTAAGCAGGGGGCAGTCAGAACACGTAGCTTGGCGACTAAAGAGATTAACAATTCACGTTTGAAAGGCAAACCTAAATTGGCACCTTTTCTGATTTTGGAAAAACAATATAGTTTACAGGGGACAGTGATTGCAAATTAAAGTTGGGGAGTTTTCCAAACGTGAATGGCTCCCTTTTCTATATTTCGGGCCACCGGGCAACTGGCGGATACTTCCGTTTTCTACCATGGGTGAGACACAATACTCAGTTGTTCAGTGGCACCATTTTTTTTTATTTTTTCTTTGGGTGACTGCCCCACTAAGAATGTTTTTGTGTTTTTACCAAAAGGGTTCCCTTTTTTCTCCAGGGTCACTGAACAACTGAGAATAAGACACAATGCGCTGGGGTGCCAACTCGGTCCTTGCCTTGCCCTGAGATCGAACTTGAAAGAACAGAGACCTGCTATGGATCCTAATTACCGACTGGTGCGAAGTGGATTTTTGTCCATCCACAAGGGACTTCTGAACATACCATATGGGTGCTTCTTAACGTACCCCCAACATGCGCTGTTTCCGATGGGTTTCCCTGTAAATTCACACACCACCAACAACAACAAAAAAAACATACCCAAAAATGGTACACCGGTTCTCTTGCGACAAATGCTTGGAAAGGGGGGCTGTATCTTTCTGTGAATCCACCCAAATTGGGAGAACTCGCTTCCTGGTTGCTCATGGCGGCATACTGGAAGTTTGGTCAGAATTTGTGCACCTAGAGTCTTCATGACCCTTTCAAAAAATGGGGGTCATTACCCAAAATGAAGGGGTCATGTACCTATTTTTAAAGGGTCATGGAGACTCCAGGTAGCCGTCCACTCGATCGGAAGTGCGAGAAGAAGCCGCCCCTTGGTCCAAGCACTCGATGGCTTGCGCCTCTTAGCCTTCGCCTCTCAGGCGCTGCGCCCCGCCTCCGCGCGGGGAGGCTCGGTGGCTGCCCTGAGCAGCACGCTGCTGTGACACCGAAAAAAACGCGCGCGCGAAACGGCAACGTGGGCGGGAGCATGCGGGAGCCGTGATGAGAGGCTCGTCTTTTGGAGGAGTTCCTTGTTTGGTCCGAGAGAAGCTCAGGGAACCTGGTGAGGGGGACGAAACTGAAGAGGGAACCACCTCACAAGTGGTAGGTGGCCACCAACGGGTCCAGCACAAATTATAGCCAGATGGAACTCCCCTCAGGGTAACCACGTGCTCAGTACCTTGCCCTTTCAAGCTATGTAACTGAACATTTTGGGTGGACCGCTGGGTTACTCGTGGGGCATTCGAGGCGGATGTGTTTGGGAAAGTTTGGGGAACTTCGCAATTTCGCTTCTCCTGGTAGCCCCCGTCATTTAAAAACCGAGCCCCAGGGATCCCACAACCTCAAGTATGAGGGCCTCTGACCCCAAAAGAACTCAAAACCAGCGAGTTATGCCTTGGGCGCGCGAACTGCCGGGCCCGCAGCGTCTTGAGCCCGAGGGGATTCGGAAGTGGATGCTGGGCCTTTCGGAAGTGTGACACCGGTTTCCGGAAGCTCCCCCATGTGCATAAGCCAACAAAAAGCACTTGGCTTCCTAAGGTGTTCCCTTTCAAAGCCACCCGACCTTGGAGGGGCGCGTGCTCGGCGCCGTTTCCGCCAGTTTGCTCGGATGGTGCGAAACTCAGATTGGATTGTATTGGTAAGTGGGGGGGGCCACGGCTCTGGATGAAAAACAGCAGGTGGGCGGGCCCATTTTCCATTTCCAGCAGAGGGGTCTCGAACCAAACGCAGCAAAATCTAGAGCAAGACTGTCCAGCTCGGGTTGGCCCGGACATCTGGGGCTGGGTGCAACCTTCAGCGGCAAACAAAACATTGCCGCTGGGGCGTCCTGCGGCGAAAGGCCAGGGCAGACATGAACATGGAGGACAGGTTCCACCTCGCGTGGGAGTTGGACTTCGATGGCTTAAAGTGTCCTGTTCGCTGCGTTTCGCGGAACCTACCCTCACCCCCACTAACATGACACCTGGCAGGGACCCGGTCCCTACAAGAGGGAAATGATCTTCCAGGTGCCCCCCCATAGGCGCCTTCGTGGAAAGGAGGGTATCTACTCCAAAAGGACACCTTTCTTGTCGCTGGTTTCACGGACGTGCGTTTGTATGGTCGGGGCATACCCTCACTTAAGGATCAGCTCACCTGGTACAAGGAGCTCAGCAGGACCTAAAGTTCAACGGAATCCTCCTGGCTGTTAGTTACGCTGGTTGGATCTTTAGACTCAAAAAATGTTGGGTTGTTGGGAAATGATAGTTTTCCCCCCCCACGAAGCAGCAACACACACGTCAATCGCTATCCATACCCACAGGATTTCCATCCCCTCCCCCCCCCCAAAAAAAAAGAACGACAGGGAAGCATAAATCAATAAGTATCACAAAACTACATAAATACTAATTCAGAAGAAAAGAACAAAGGCTTTAAACAAGAACAACAAGAACACACACATAGACATAGAATACAAGACCAACATAACATATGGGTGTGGCTCAAAATTATACAGGAGGGGCAAACCGCAGGTTTTGGTCCATGTGTCCACTTACCAGGGCAACCCATTTTGGCACCGGTTTTTTGAGCCACAGCCATATCATAACATAGATAAATCCCGGCTCCTCTCCCAGGAGCTGGTGGAGGAGCTGGAGAGGAGCCAGCTCACTGGCGAGCACCTCTGGAGGTGAGCTCGATGGCCTCACGGGGCCGAGGGGCCCCTTAAAGAGGGGAGGGAGGGGAGGGGAGCCCAAAGCATGAAATCAGGCGCCTTGCTTGGGGCGACTTGGGGCTTGCATGGTTGTTGTTGGGAAACATTATGCATTTTTTTGCTGATTGTGGTTTAGCCACTCAACTGCTGAAATTTAAATGTTTGCTCCCGTTCCAACGTCAACCAAGCTTCCCAGGCCCCATGAACAGTTGTCAAAAGCCACCCCCGTACGCATTTTTTGATTAAAATGGCAGGTGTGCCTAAAAAAAGCAGCTTGCAACCCCTTGGTACCGGCTAACTTTGGACCTTTTCGTTTCCCTCTGGTCGATTTTTAATAAAGATTCCAAAAGTTTCATCGGCTAAATGTGAAGCAGAATTGAAACATGGGTGTCTCTTGTTTAGGGGCATCCTTGGATGGTTTGAAGGGCAAACAACAAGGACAGTTGTCATTTTGTGGGGGGCTCCCTACTCCGAGGAAAAAACAGATCTGGCTCTTGGGTGTGTTTGTCTTGAGTTGGGCCCAGAGACCGCCCCTTTTACGCCCTCAAAGATCCCAAGCACAGCAATCGCACCCAAGCGGGCAGGCGGTGTTGGCTAACAAGTACCGTGAAAAGAAATCAGCACCGGCTGGGCCCTACAACTACCGATTTACCCCTGCCGGTCTTCGGGTTGGGATAGATGTGGAGGCTGAACGAGGCAGTCTTCAACGTCGAGGAGGATGCTCTCATGCCGCTTTCGCGACGCCGCTGGTCCAAGGCTTCGGATTTTTTTCCAACTTCAGACAAGTTCAGAGGACCTGGACAATCTCAGCAATCCCCCAAAGCAGATCATGTTTTTCTGATTGTCCTGTGATTGTGCGATGATGGATCCCTAAATTGAATGAGCCTGAATTGTACGATGTGGATTGAGATGATGCATCTGGATGGGGGAGCACCCTTGATTAGAGATTTGTACGGTCCCTTTTGGTGGTTTCAATCATCACCTCCGCCTGTAGAGTGACCTTCAGGGGTGATGTTTAAGGGGACACCTGGGTTAACCCTGCACTTCGCCCCATCTCCAAGGATCTTTGCGCAGGGAGTTCAGGCGATTTCTTAGAGCAATACCCTCCCACCAGCTAACATGGAAGTGCACAGACCCCTGTAGAAAAAAACTACTTTCCTCTTGGAACGGGTTTTTTGCGCTTCCATGTTAGTTGGTGGGAGGGTAGGTGAAGGGAATTGGAATTGGAAACCCACCTATCGCATCCAAATGCGATTTCCTCGTGCTTCAAGACGACGCGAACCAACAGGTTACAGTCGTGCAATTTGAGATTTCAGGCAAAATTGGCACATGTCCCAACCAAGGAAAAGGGCCAAAAGCCGAGCACCCGCCATTGTAGGTTGTGACGACTGTCCAGTTTGCGATTTTCCCAAGTGGGGTGAATCCTCCAAGTGGATCCATTCGGTCTGAGGGATCTTTCAGCTGGCGCTGCGGGTGCGCAAAGACTACCAGGCCGGCCGCTTCTACAAAGCAGATCGCGGCAGCTCGGACCCGGACGGGGCGCCCATGGTTGTGGAAACTCGGGTAGGGGTACTTTGTGATACTGTACCAAGTTGGAATACTCAGAGGGTCCAAGTACTTTCTAAGGAGGTAATTACTTGGACCCTCTGGGATATGTTGGAATCCCTTTAAACTTACAAACAGACCGCCTTGCCACATACAGAACTATGTTCTACAATGTTCGGGTCAGTGCGCTGATGGACGTACGGACAATTGGCAGGTTGGAGGGTTTCAGGGAGGTTCCGGAGAGTTCCAGGGCGAGGCATTCTCAGGCTTGTGTCCGACCCTGGGCTACATTTTGCTTGGCAGCCTGGCACATCGCCTGTACCAGCTGATTTAGAGGATCCCCCTGTGAAGCAGGATGTATGCCTTGATAGACCCTGGCTTAGACAAGCCACATCCGTTACAGATTGTACGGAGGCGGAGGAGGGCGGGGGGGGGGTACTGTCAATTCAAAGGGCCTCTAGTGGTCTCCTTTGTCACCGTAGGTGCTGGAGGGGGTTTCCTTTGAATTCAACTGGCTTCATGCTTTGCCCTTCCCCTTAGCGGGACGGCCTGATTGTTGGCTTCTTTAGCCCGGGATGTGGGCTCCACTCACTCCAATTTGGGGGGGGTCGGGTCTGGAGCAATGTGGCGGAACCAGCAGCAAGAACATGGTTGTCGTTGGGAAACATGTTACATTTTTTTGCTTATTGCGGTTTAGTGGGAAATCCCCACTGAACTGCTAAAATTTAAATGTTTGCTCCCCTTCCAACGTCAAGCAAGAGAAGGTGCCTCTTCTTTCCCCGTGGTCTAAGGTGAGTATCTGGCGCTGCTGGGCACGCTGCAGAATCAGCCCCTCGGATCCAGAGAGCAGTAGACACCCCGTGACGGCCCGTGGCAACGGGCAACTTGGCGCTGTGTGCCGGTTCTGCCACCAATCAGCATGGAACCTGACAAAAGTGTCCTGTACAGGAAGACAATGGCTTCCAGGACCCCCCGAACATCAGCTTCCCTGTGAATAGGGTGGGAGGGTACAACTTACTGTTGATAGTAGAGTTCTCCGGATTTTGATGACACGCGTTGGAGTCGGACCATGACGCACAGCTTTTGACCAAGTCCTCACTTGCCCAAAGTGAATTAACCTTTTGACCTTTCAGTTTCCCCTTGTTGGTCCAATTTGTGTGCCCCCCAAAGATGAACCTTTTGATTTCTGGAACCTTTGGGCAACTGAGTAGGGTTCCCCTACAATCCCAACCAACAAGTGTTCATCAGTGCCCCTTTGCCCCGAGAGGCGAAAAGGCTGAGGTTTGTCTCCCGGACTGGCCCATGCCCATCACCCACGGGTTTTGACCATCTGTCCCTTCTGCGGATTTTTGGTATAGGCCTTCTCTTTTCCGTCTGGGGAGATCCATCCAAACTGACTATAATCAAAAATGGTGCCATACCAGATCATACTATACCATAGTTCATACCGTACCGTACCGTTTACCATACCCTATCATATTTAGTTCCAAACACCTCCCATTCCTTCCTGCACCACCTTTTTTTTAGCATGGTTGAACCATTGTTTGTTGGCATTTCCAGGAAGATCATGACTTCCTGGGTTGCTTAGGTGATGCAGGGGAATCGAATCGTTCCAGGGGTTTCTCAGGCAGGACTTTGTCCGATCATACTGTGGATGGCCAAAATCCTGCACCACTTTGAATCCATGGGAAACCATTAGTTGCTGGTATTTACGAGTTGAACCATCCTTGGGGGTGTTTTTGGGTGGTGCTGAAGAGGATTTCGTCCACCCACACCATACCATCGCGGCTTGCAGTGCTTGCCAGCCATCGATGCAGGCGCTGCCTCACGGGCCGCCAGGGGGCCACCTTGCGGGCGGCCCTTGCGGAGGCTTTAGGCGCCGAGGCACAGGAGCGAGGGATGGGTGGGGGGTTTGGGGGGTTGTGGGGTAGGGGGGTAGGGGGGTAGGGCATGGCAGGTTTGGGTAGGTATCTCAATAACATCTTTTGTTGCTGTTTTTTGGTGTTGCGGGGGGGAGGGGGTTGGTGGGTATGGGTGGGTATGGAGTATGGGGTACATTTGGATACCATAATATCATAATGGTTGTTTTTTCTTCTTGGCATAGTAGGGATGGGTTGTTTATGTCCTTTTCTTTTGAGGGGCATATGGGTGATTTTTCCAATTCCCCCGCCAGGAGGCTCCGAAAGCCGGCAACTCCGAGGCCAAGCGCCGGCTTCAGGAGCAGAGCAAGGCTGAAGCCGTGCGCTCGATTCGGCAAGTCGGGCAAGTGGTAAGACGAGCCTGGAACATGGCAACTGTTCTAGGCGTTGATTCCCCATTCTTTTCAGCGGCCATCGCTCTTTCAAAAACCAGCCATTTCCCCAGGGCTTTTTGTGGTTTTCTAGAAAGAAGGATCACTGGAAAGAATGGGGAAGTTACCCCTAGAACTGTGTTTGCCACGTTTGCAGGGCAATAGCCACACAGCAACCTACTTGCATGTTTGGCCAAGTTAGTAAGTTTGTTAGCCACTTGGTGTATATCCCCCAAAGAAGGTTAACCCCCACTGAAAGGGGGACTCATAAGTGGGTTGTGACCTAGGTTGTTAACAACTTACTAACTTGGCAAATCGAACAGGGGTGGACGAAATTCATTTCGCACCACCCTGAAATGATTCGATTCCCCTCCACTCACTTCCTGAGTTCCTGGACATCAGTCACTTTCTGGATCTGGACCATTTTAGTGGTACATAAAGCATTCGGTTGCTTTTCGTGACCAATCCACTCGAGAAGTGTGTTTTACAGGAAAGCAGTGCCAGGAAAGCAGTGCCCACTGATTTCCAGGGGTGCCCACCATTTTCAGACCAACTCGTTTAGCCAACCAATGGCTTCAGCATTTTGGCCAATCCACTCGAGAAGTGAGGAATCCATACCCATCCAATGATTCTTGGGGGGTGTTCCCTCCGAAGCCGCACGAAAATGGGGACACCCCCCAATCAAAATCAACCAGGGCACTTAGCTCCAGGGCTCGCATTAGAGGGTTCCACCCACCCCAGTCTCTCTTCTGGTGTTTCCTTTGGGTTGACTGTCCGGTTCCCCATTTGGAGGCGAACCCTGATCTTTCGTGTCCTCAGCTCCCTGGATGTCTGCGTTTTTCCTGCGCTCCAAGTTTTGGAGTTCGGAAACGGTGCCGCTAAGGCGCCCCTCTGCGCCCGATTGGCCATAGGACAAGGGTTCAGCCGACACCACCGAAGATCGGTTCAAAAAAAGAGAGCGGAGCCGATGGAATTTCAGTCAAGCTGGGATCTGGGAACAGCTTTGCATACCGCGAGTCTCCATGACCCTCCAAAAAACAAAGGGTGTCATTACCCAAATAAGGAGGTCATGGACCTCAAGGTCGTTTTCGGACGGATCTCGGCCAAAAAACCCGGCCACAGGCGCTCGCAGCGCAGCTGGCGGAACTGAAGCGCCTGAAGGGCGCGGTAGAGACCTTCCTCACCTGGCAAGGCGGGGATGGGGTGGCCTTTTTTTGGTCGGTCTTTGGTTTGTTTGTTTGATTTGTATTGTTTTGTCCTTTTCTGTTTGTTTGTTTTTGTGTTGTGTTTGTTTATTGTTGGTGTTTTTTTGTTCTAATTTTTGAGGTGTGGGTTGAATGTTGCTCTCGCTCCAGCTGAAAGCTTTCTAAGGCCTCCCAGATTTAGGCTCCGGACTGGTTCGGCTGCAAGCGGAAAACGGGGGTTGCGGTTGGGGATTCTTCTTCTTCGAAACGAGGGACAGAGCATGGTCGTTGTTGGGAAACATTTGCATAATTTTTTCGTATGGCTTAGTGGTTGAAATCCAAATCCACTGAACTGCTATTTTTGTTTCTCGATTTTTTGCTCCCCAAACCCAACGTCGACCAAGATAAAGAGGCTGGGACGTTCTTTCGCGCGGATCTGGAGCTCGCCTCTTCGCCTTCAGGACCGGAGCCAAAGGCAGCCGCAAAAGCCAAGGCCAAGGAGATGGCGAAGAAGGAGACTGGGGTAGATCCATGTGCTGAAATGAATAGGTTTTATCTTCTTTCCCTGCTTGGTCTCAAAGGGAATCTTCACTGTTGGATATTTTTGTTGGTGTTTCCCAGGGGGCAAGAATTCAACTGGAAGTGTATGTATCAGCTTCCCTCCAATTGGTGGTTTGGAGCTTGGTGGTTTGCTGGTTAAGGAGGGGTTGTCAAGTTCTTCAAACCACCAACTGGAAGGATGGCTATATACTGGGATCTTTTCCAAAACTTCTCTCCGGCAACCCCCAGCGACCTCAGTGAACCCATTTGTATGCAGACAAAACGTGTTCAGAATCAGAACAGATACAAACAAATCAAGATCTGGTTGGTTTGGTTGAGCAATAGAGGCCCTTTTGACCCCACTGACCTTCGTCAACCCATTTTCCGTGTACCCCAGATGGCCAGGAGAAGGGGAAAGAGAAGGAGCCGGAGGCCTTGCAACTAAAACAATGTGGCAGAGCTTGCTTGTGTGTGTTTGAGGGTATGTGTATGCTGGGGTTGGTTTACAGAGGGAATTAAACCAAAAGGAAATCCACTATTTTGCATGTCTCCCTACTTTTGGCACATGCCCACCTTTCGGATGCTGGGCTTATGTTTTTTTTTTTTTTTGGGGGGGGGGCAGGGGTTCTCTTGCCGTTAAGGATGTGCATATTTATTGTATTGTTTTACTTCTTATATTTATTAGTAATCATACTATGAGGGCTTTGCTTTTTGGATCCCATCCACAAGCAGCCGGGACACCCTTTCTCGCCCTGTTGCCCTTCAATTCTCCAGCACCCGAGCCAAGGAACCGCAGATTCTTCTCATCTCCAACAACATGGGTTCAAGGATGGCAAGGATTGTGAACTCACTTGCCTAAAGCTGTCCTTTTGAACTTTTGTGTCTGGGTCCGTTGGGAAAAAGTTAAGCATCGCCTTTCCCAGCGTAGAGGGTCTCCGGTATGCAGGTGGCTTTTGGATGTATCCCTTAAGGGTCTAGGCATGATTTTTCATCGGCCCCGATCCGTAGGCGAGCCAGCCCAAGGCTGTCAAGGCGGGTACCTCGGGTTGACTGCGACTTTTGCTCACCCACTTCCATTTGCTTAAGAATATGTTTTATTTTGCCCTGTTGGTTTTAAAGGGAATTTGTCACTATTGGAAATATTGTCATTTTTCCCAGGGGGCTTAAGCAAACGGAAGCCCAGGTGTCCCTTTTAGAGGGAGTCTCTTCAGGAATCAAGCAGCTTACCAGACATCCAGGGCCTTCTTTGCGGGTTGCGAGGAGGTTCGCTTTAAGAATCACGTTCCAGACATAAACAAGAAGTGGCCTTCTTCCCCACCGCTTGGCTTGAGGGTGTGCCAAGAGGATGTCTGCTACATACGGGGCGCTTAAATCTATAGAAGGCACGCCTTGAGGCCTCAAGCGGTACTTCTTGGCTTCCACGTTCGCCGAGACGGTAAAACATGGGTGGCTCGTCCTTTTGTTGAGGGTACCCTTTTTGGCTTTGGAGGGGAACTAATTTGGGGGCTCCCCTGTTACGTCCATTTTGTTAAACATTGTTAATGTTGACCTACGATTAGTAAATAGACCATGAATAATGCTAAACGATTTCAAAAAAAAATATATACCATGAATAATGCTAACCGTTTTTTCCCAGGGGAAAAAATATAAAAAAAAAATGAAAAATAATATAAAGTAATTCAAACAAATAACCTTCCCCCCACAAGAGTGAATGAATCCTGAGTTCCCAAGCTCACAAAAGAACATAGAGTTCCCATTGGGATCCATGCAAAATGCAGATTTTTATTCAGGGTCAGTGCTCCCAACCCTCATCCCCCATGGAATTTGCATGGTTTCATAGTGAATTTATCCAGGGATCATGCCAGGGAAACCTGATTTACCATGGGATTTGCATGCTTCTGGCATCTAATCTTTATTCAGGGTCAGTGCTCCCAACCCTCATCCCCCATGGAATTTGCATGGTTTCATAGTGAATTTATCCAGGGATCATGCCAGGGAAACCTGATTTACCATGGGATTTGCATGCTTCTGGCATCTAATCTTTATTCAGGGTCAGTGCTCCCAACCCTCATCCCCCATGGAATTTGCATGGTTTCATAGTGAATTTATCCAGGGATCATGCCAGGGAAACCTGATTTACCATGGGATTTGCATGCTTCTGGCATCTATCTTTATTCAGGGTCAGTGCTCCAAACCCTCATCCCCATGGAATTTGCATGGTTTCATAGTGAATTTATCCAGGGATCATGCCAGGGAAACCTGATTTACCATGGGATTTGCATGCTTCTGGCATCTAATCTTTATTCAGGGTCAGTGCTCCCAACCCTCATCCCCCATGGAATTTGCATGGTTTCATAGTGAATTTATCCAGGGATCATGCCAGGGAAACCTGATTTACCATGGGATTTGCATGCTTCTGGCATCTAATCTTTATTCAGGGTCAGTGCTCCCAACCCTCATCCCCCATGGAATTTGCATGGTTTCATAGTGAATTTATCCAGGGATCATGCCAGGGAAACCTGATTTACCATGGGATTTGCATGCTTCTGGCATCTAATCTTTATTCAGGGTCAGTGCATCCCCCATGGAATTTGCATGGTTTCATAGTGAATTTATCCAGGGATCATGATTTACCATGCGATTTGCATGGCCCTCATCCCCCATGGAATTTGCATGGTTTCATAGTGAATTTATCCAGGGATCATGCCAGGGAAACCTGATTTACCATGGGATTTGCATGCTTCTGGCATCTAATCTTTATTCAGGGTCAGTGCTCCCAACCCTCATCCCCCATGGAATTTGCATGGTTTCATAGTGAATTTATCCAGGGATCATGCCAGGGAAACCTGATTTACCATGGGATTTGCATGCTTCTGGCATCTAATCTTTATTCAGGGTCAGTGCTCCAACCTCATCCCCCATGGAATTTGCATGGTTTCATAGTGAATTTATCCAGGGATCATGCCAGGGAAACCTGATTTGCCATAGGATTTGCATGCTTTTGGCACTCAATCAATCTTTATTCAAGGCCAATCATCACTCTCAATGCTCATCTCCCTCCCTCTCCCCCTCCCCCCATCCTCCAAGAGCAGCAGTAGCAAATGACCACCACCACCACCACCACCATACCACCACCACCACCACTACCACCACCACAATCCCTTTCAGCCCTGGTCCTTCAATCTTGGGCACCTTATTCGCGAGGAATGCCTCCTTCTTCATCCAGTAGGCAAATGCCTTCATGGCAATGCACCTCAGGCATCCAGTCTGAAATCTGCATTTGCTGCATGGTGCTAATCTTGTCTCAGCCATCCTGATCTCCATGCTTGCCTCATGGCTCAAATCTGATGCCCTGAAGAACTTGCTGTTCTCATTCATTGCCTGCATTGCTACTAATGCTGAATGACACTTCATGTCCTTCAATTTCTTCAATTTCTCATTGGCTGCTGCATATGCATCATCCTGCTTCTTCTTCAGATTGTATGCTTTCTTCTCAATGTCCTGCATATGCTGATGTAGTTTGCTGGATTCTGTGCTCAATACCTTCTTAATCTTCTGCATTCTGATCTGCCATTCCTCCTTGATTGCCATTGGCCATCCCCTAGATGCTGGGCCTTCAACATGGGTGCATGCCTCAATCTCCATGTATGCAATGACAAAATATCCACAATCAGCTCCTTTCTGGCGAACATGGTTCCTGCATTCCAGTTTGATATTTGCTGCATTCTCTCCTTCAAACAGCTTCACAATCTCATGGGCATACTTCAGGCATTCAGGATGTCCACCTTCCAAGGTGTCATAGTAATGCCACTGATCCCCTTTCTTCACCAATAGGGTCCAATGCTTGGGCGCTCCATGGGCAGGGATTGGGATGCACAAAGTATCAACACCTGATGCACAGTCCAGGATTTGCCCCTTGACCAACTCATAGCCAGCCTCATCCATCTCAGTCATGTTCACAGTCAGCTTTCCCATCAATGCTGGATCCAAGCACTGCACAGACTCAGGAATGTTCAATTGCCACTGCATCCATGCCCATGCCAATACAATGTGCTGATCTTCCAGGTATGTGTCTGCATCTATCCCAAGCAAGGGGTATGTTGTATCAACAAATGGCTCTGGATGGGCAGCTATTGCTTGCAGCATGCTTTGCAATGATGCCCTTGTGATATACTGAAAGGTCCTGTATGCTCTGGGTTTCTTCCATGTTGCATCTTCCAGCATCAGGAACTCCATCTGTGTGCTAATGACACCCTTCTCTGTCATGATGCTTGCTGTGCCATCCTTGACATTGGGCACACTCCCTGATCTTCCACACTTCAAGGGGCCTGCCTTTTCTGATACCACTCTCACACCCTTCCCAATCCAATCATGGAGCTCATCACCAATTGCATCATCACTTTTCTTTGCTGGGATGTCCTTCTTCATAGCCTTGAACTCCAATTTGCTTGACTTCTCAGCCTCCTTCTTCATCACTGCCTTCTTATCTGCCTTCTTCTTCACTGATGGCTTTGCTATCATGCTTGGCTTTGAGCTTGCTGATGGCTTGCTTGCAATGCTAAGCTTCTTCTTCTTCATTTTTGCTAGCATTGAGCTCTTCAGCAATACCTTGCCAATCCTCTTCTTATTTGTGCTCTTGGCCACAATCTGTTCCAGTGCCTCTTTTTTGCTCATGCTGTCTAATAGCTTTTTGCTCATATGCTTCCTGGCTGATATCCTGATCAAGGATCTGTGCACTGATTTGATCCTTGCTTTCTCATGGTCTTTCATGATGGTGGCCCATGTCGACTCAAGCATTCCTCTCCTGTAGAACTGCCTCCTCAACTTGGGGCTCATCCTGAGGAATAGGGAGTTCTGCATGGGCAGTATCATCTCTTCATTGAGCTCATGCACAATGTCCACTGCATCCTTCTCCTCATCTAGCTTCTCATCCTTCACAGGATCCTGTCCTTCCTTCTTCTTCTGGTGCTCATCTGTCTGATCATCTCCTTCTTGATCAGGTTCAGGATGGCAGTTGGGCCATTCTATCAAGTCAGTGATGGCTGCTGCATCGTTGCTGATGGAAAAGTCAGGAGTCAATGGCCTCCCTGATTCATCCAACCATGAGTGCCTATGCTCCCACCAATCTGCTGGGATCCTGCTGGTGCCCATCTCACCTTTGATTGGGACCATCTTTCCTTCCTTGATCTGGTAGGCAATCAAACCATTCCTCTTGGCACCTGATACTACCCAGTTGGTCTTCTCATTGAGGACTGCCATATAATCCTGACTAGCGATTGAAGCCCTGATGATCTCTGGATATCCAATGCTGAAGCCCTTGTCTGATCCATGCTTCCTCTTGAATTGGACCCTCATCCTATCCAGCTCATGGGTGAAATATCTTTTCCATGCTCTGCTGCAATCAGTGTCTGTAACCTGAAGTTGTGCTGTCATGTGGCCCAAAATGTATGCAGGTGCCTGATTCAGGATGTGCTCTGCTTGCATTGTTGCATCTGCAAAATTTGCACTGAATGAGTCCTTGATGTTGATGCCACATACTTCCTTCTCTCCTTGCTCCATGGCAATCCACTTCATCAGAACTCCATCCACATTGCCACTGGGTTGGGACATGATGATGATCTTGCTAAACAACTCTGGCTCCTCATTGCGAAGATTGACAATTGACTTCATTGATCTGCACTGATGTCCTTTGCTGTGAATGATGGTGGTTCCCCCCACCTCAAACTCATCATCTTCTTTATACTTTCCATCTTTATCCAGATTGCTAAGGCGCTGATGTGGTCCTGCAAATACTAATAGCCCACATGCCACCTCACCTGTCAATTCTCCATCCACCAGCCCATAGATCTTTTGTCTGGCTTCATATGTGATTCTAAACTTCTCCTCAGGAGGGTTGTGATGAGACAGCTTCATGCCTGATACCAACTTCTTCTCATCTTTTCCCTCTCCCTCAGCTGATGTTATCACTTGCTCCTGTCTCATCTTCATCACCTGCTGGGCTGACTCAATCTCCTTTCTGATTTCTTTGAAATTCACCTTGTCATCATACC